TGAGGCGGCCGATGACGACCATTAACGGAAACTCTGTTTTCTCTGATCATATCCCATGGGTGGTCTCAGATCACTTTTTTTGAAAGAAAGCTTGAGAATTTCCTCTGGCGTTCACTTCCATGTTTCTTCCCCTAAATTCCTAATGATTTACAGTGTTGTTGTGCCCTCCTTGGTCCTCCCCCCCCAGTCTCCCATGTCTGGAATGTTGCTTTCACCTTTGGTGTTTCTGCCTCCACACTCTGGGGAAGCGTTGTTGTTGTCGTTGTCGCTGCTTTAACCTAATGTTTAAGTTTTCTAATCAACGTCTCTGGGCGCTCTTCACCCCTCCTTTCTCTTCTCTGATCGTTTTCTCTTCTTTCTCTTCCGCCTTGCCGTCCTCCTACCCTTCATACACTCACGCGCATGCACGCACGCACGCAACTCCGTAGTCAGATAGAGGTCTTAAAGGTAGTAGTTCATAGCGTGTAGTTATACAGTGTGTACGTATTTACGTACGTAAGTAAATACTCGCCTAATTGTGATTGCAGGGGTCGATTCATAGCTCCTGGCCCCGCCTCTTCACTGGTCGGCACTGAGTGTGTAGGTCGCTACTGTGTGTGTTAGCTATCTCTTAACACTACCTCCATCTCGGCATAATTTTTCTTATTGTACTACTACCTCTTTTACCATTGTGGTTCTGCCTATATTACCATTGTACTGCTGCCTCTTACTGTTGTGGTTGTGCCTGTATTACCATTGTACTGCTGCCTCCAATCAGTGCTTGTACCTACAACAACGCTCCTTCGATCATCGGCAGGTGGAGACGTTTAGTATCTTTAATTAAGTTGGTACGTACTGTTCACCTAACAGTTTAAGCAAATATCTGGGTATTAGCCGACTGTTGTAGGTCGTATCCTGGGAAAGAGAACCGGTTGGTACTCTTGTGTGATTCTGGTTTATTAGCCCTCCGGATTAATCTAATAAAATTCTCCCCTCCTTACTTTTAGCTACTGTTTCTGGTGCTGCTAGTCCCCTTCCCCGTCCTGCCAATGTTTATTTTCTTCAAAATTGACACTTTCTATCGACCCAGTTCGTTTTTATAAGCCTTCCGCATTGGCATTCAGATTCTAGCCCTATGATTTTTTCTTCCCAAAATGTGTGTCAAGGTATTAGGATGAGGCAGTAAAGGTGGCTCTCGTGCTTGTGCAATAAATGTAGGTAGATTACGGAGGAATAAACGTTATCAAAGTCTGTTAAATGTTACATTCTTTGACAGGATTTTTATGTAGATAGTGTGCAGTCTTGGTGTTCCCATCCCGGAGTGTTATAAATGTGTTGTATTTTAAGGTAGTTAATGACGAAAGAGAAGAACTGTGTAACGTCACCCTTCCCTGTATGATATTGAAATATTTCACTTAGGGCTTGCTGGTCTTTGTTTCCTTAACCAGTAAGATGGCAGTATATTTTACCAACTCGCCCTTACAGTATTTACTTGCCTTGACTGTTCTGTGGAGATGGTAAAGGTGTAGACTGGAACAAGCGAATAAGAGGTAAACACACATAGAAGAATGAAGCTTGTGACGCCGTTTCGGCCCGACTTGGACCATTATGTAGTTAATGTGCGGGTCATTTGTAAAAGGTAAACGCGATTCGTGGTCTTTAATAGTTGCTGTCCTCTCAGTTAGGTGTGATGAGAATGTTACGGATGTTGAATTAAGTCATCTATGCACAGCTAGCTATATTGTCAATGTTCACTGTAAAGCTAATCAAGCTTTACAGTGAAGCTTTTACCATAAAAACTTTACACAGGAATGTTATCAGAACAAAAACTTTCTCGTTTTTTTCCTATCCTGTGAGCAGGCATCTGGCCCTTGTATCCGAGGTGGGTATTGTGATGGTCGCCCTTCTGCATCTTGGTTTGACTGGAATCACACATTCAGAAGAATGTGTGATTCCAGTGTGTGATTAGAAGGATTTCCGTTTATTTTTTTTAAGGGGGCTGGGTGTTAGCTGGCTGACTGACTAGGTATCTTGTCGGTCGATGCCTGACATTGAGTTTTGGGGATGGGGGGAGGGAGTGACTCCGCCTCCATAACATGCAAATTATATAAAAAAGAAAATGAGATAATCAGGAGTGGTGGAGCACCAGGAAATAAGAGGCTTCACAAACGACTATCAGCACGAAATTAGATACATGTACAGTAATAAATACCGTCTCGAGCCTGCTGAAGTTATACGACAGCGACGTAAAATGGGAAGGGTGAGTTAATGTCATATTCTATATTATGAAGGCATTTGACACGACTGTTGAAGACGCATCCGTGAAATAGAGAAGTTAGCATGAATAATGGTTGAAGGCAATGCAGTGAATATTAAAAAAAAAAAAAAAAATTCGCCCTCCTTATTTTAGGACACTGCTGAATCTTTGTTTAATGGGGTGGAGAAATACCTAACCAGGAGATGCTTATCCACGGGTATAGAGCACCAGGGAGTTAGAAATTGCTTAATCATAAGTTCTTATTTAGCCTTTGCGTACGTAATATACGCATTTTTATACAATGTGCACCTGAAAGTACATTACATACGCACTATAACCACAGTGCAGTAGTTTTCTTAGTGCTTTCGTGATTTCTCATGTTATCAAGAAACAACAATGCTGTACATTACAGAACAATACTTTATGTAAATTTACCCTAGGATATCCCAATTAAGTCGAACAGTATGATTTATTTCCATTGGGGATCTCAGCATTGGTAAACCAGTTGTTTAATCATGGGTATACAAGTTACAACACTGGTAAGCCAGCGGTTGCGGAATCACATTAAGCGGGTTATCTGCCAGACCCACTTCAGATAGTATGTTCCTGACGAACGAAAGCTTCCCCCACCCTCAGCGTGGTGGGGAAGATAGTGTAAGACTGTTTACCTGTTACGTCATGAGTGGCCTTGATGTCGCGTGGCCAGCTTGTCTCACTACTGACACCAATTTGACACCTGTTACATCGCATCTTGTGGTGGTGGTATTCCTCTGCTGGTTCTCAGTGAGTTGGCAGAGGGCGCTTTGAAGGAAAGGCGTTGTATACTACTGACCTCTGCATTTTTCCCCTCACCGCCACAACTCCCTCACCCTACCTCTCCCTCCCTCTCCGGGTTAATCAGAGGGGGATATTTTTTGCAATTGTTGTTATTGCATGAGGTGTTGTTCTATCTTGCTCGTTTTCCCTTTGTGTATTGATGTGCATCTTTGACTAAGATTGTGTTATTGTAATTAAAGAACATTATATACAGTGTTTCTACCTAATATTATGTAGCAACATTCTCCATTAATAACTAAAATGGAGATGGTTCGCTTTATAATATTACCTGACACTACAAATACCATGGTATAGAAATAATATCCAACACCATTGTAAATATTGTAATTATTTTGCGTTTTGGTTAGGCTTTTATGATGTGTGATTTCCATGAAGTGGTATACTGCTAGTTAGTGTCGGTTACCCATTCATTGACCTGCCGACCTCCCGCTGGTCTCATTGTCATACCTGACCTCGGATCACCAGTGACTACTGGGGGCAGCTGCCTTACCCACTCGCTACTGAGCAGAACCCTCTCTTGTTCTCCCTTACCTGGAGGTTATTCCGGGGATCAACGCCCCCGCGGCCCGGTCCATGACCAGGCCTCCCGATGGATCAGGGCCTGATCAACTAGACTGTTACTGCTGGCCGCACGCAGTCCAACGTACGAGCCACAGCCCGGCTGATCCGGCACTGACTAGGTATCTGTCCAGCTCTCTCTTGAAGGCAGCCAGGGGTTTATTGGCAATTCCCCTAATGCTTGATGGGAGGCTGTTGAACAGTTTTGGGCCCCGGACACTTATGGTGTTTTCCCTTAGTGTACCAATGGCGCCCCTACTTTTTTCCCTAGCATGGGAACGTCTCTCAGGTGCTAGCAATCTCTTAAGTTATTTTGATCTCTTGCATGGAAACATTGGTGCTACTTATTGTACGGATAAATTACCTTGATCAGAGCTGTCAGAGACATACTGATTATTTCATGTCCTATAAAGATTGTCTAACTAGACTATGGGGATTTATACATTCCCGGTGAATCATTGTAACTGACAATATTTGTGTATATATATAATTCCGCCTTTTGAATAATGGGCCCTGTTTAACTCCCATAAGAATATGAAAAACTTTGAGTTATTACTTTAATTAAATTAACGATTTTACTTAGGAGTTTTGGTCATCCTTAAAGAAAGTTGAAGGTTGTTCTGCCACTTTAAACCCTTGTAGTGAACAGTTTTTTCCCCCTGGACTAATGTCAGCCAGCTATCCGAGTACACTCAAGGTATCAAATGAACCGGATTGCCTCTTTGTACACAACACTTCCTACTATCTTCTCCCCACCTTCCTTTCATCTCTCACCCTTTCTCTCTCCCATCTCTCTCCCGCCTTCCTTCTCCCTCTCACTGTTTTCCTCTCTCCCTTCCCACACTCTCTGGCCTTCTCAACACTTTCCTTCCTCTCCATCCTTCTGCGTGCTTTCTCTCCTAGCTCTCCACCCCCCTCTTTCCCCCGCTCTTTTGAAATCCTCTTGCCATAACTTACTATCACAGTCCCCCCCCCCCAAAAAAAAAAAAAAAATACCCTGCTGCAGTGTTTTCCTTGTGTTTCAATTCTGAGCAAGACGACCTGGGATGAGAGGCAATCAGATTCGACCTAAGGAAAGGGTGGATAGCCCCAGTTTGGATGTGCACGTGTTCTCCTGTATTTACGTCTGTAATTCACCAAGTTGGGAGGGCGCCCCACCTAACGATTTAATTGATTAAGGTTGGGAAGAGACTACCCAATTGAATTTGTGAGGTTACTTTGCACATCCCCAAGACAGGATTTAGGTTTTGCTCACCACAGTGTTTGCGGAACTTTCCTTACCCTGCCTGTTTAACTGTTTGTCACATTACTGATATCTAGCATCGGCCTTTACCATACATACTCTTGAAACTGTCAAGTTTGTCTCCAGCTTCTACAGTTGTGTATTACTGTTAAAAATGAGGACTCGAAACGCCAGTATTTTATAGAGTTATTTAACATCACATTGTATATGCACGATATACTTTGTATTAAGGTAAGTGATAACTCATTCTGCGGAAGTGTTGTTTTAGCCATGTCTCTGGAACCAAGTGCAAAGGAGTTACATAACATCAAACTACGACAAATACCCTAACACCCTCTAACACCAACATATGTGATCGGTTTCGAGGATTTGTGTAGTATCGCAAACCGACCTGAGACCAAGCTTCTTTGCCTGTTCAACCAGGTTAGTGATGCTAGCTGCCCGGTGGCCACCGCCTATAGCCGTAACAGCTTGGTTGATCTGCCATTTGGCGGAGGTAGCAAATGATAACATGCCACCACCAACACATCCGCTGACTACCAACATTTACCGTTAATATCCTGTTACCTCTAGCACAAATTAATATCAAATATATGATTTTAAAGTAATGTGGTGATCATTACAGGTGTTGCTGTCTCTGGCATCACACTTGGTAATATTGATGTACCTGTTTAACAGCAGTGGGTAACGTTGTTTGGTAATCATTACAGGTGTTCCTGGTGCTGTTGCTGTTGCTGTCTCTGGCATCACACGTGGTAGTGTTGAGGTACCGGCGTCGTGAGGCCGCCAACTTACCACCTCCCAGACATACAGACGACGACGAGGCTGCAGTCGATCGTATTGCGTGAGTTGACTCATCGACCCACACTTACATAAACATGTCATTTTTCTATAACGTGTGTTAATCTATAGTTGCAGTATACGACTGTATATCCCATACTCCAGAACGATCATGGGCATATTAACTTAGTCAAGGGCGTGGAAACCGTAAACTTGTCAAACGATGCTTTTGCAATGTATTGGTTCTAAGACCTGTTCTCCATGTTCACCTTTTATCCAGAAAACGTACTTCCTAGTTGGGCAGTTTTGTTTGTCGCCTTCTGTTAGAATTGAGGTAATTTAAGCTAGCATCACCTAACGTAGACAGAAAATTAAAAATTGATTGAGGTAATTTAACCTCAGCTAACGTACATGGAAAATTACGCTTAAAGCTATACATTAAAAAAATCAACGTTGTACAACAATAGTAGGACAGGTTATGGTGTGGTAGTTTCCCCAACAACAGACAAAATCTATTTAACAAGCTCAGATATATGCCAGAAATTGATTGCAGAATTAAGTAAACAGTAGTTATGAAGACACTACAGGGAAACAATGAAGAACTCAGAAACACTGGATACATAACACAGGAGGACTCTCATGGAATGTTAAGAACTTCTAAAAGACTGAGGTAGTGTCACATGACCTATTTAGGGAACAGAAAAAAAGGCAAGTGCTGCAATGGCCAGAAAATTGATAGGGTGGATAATGAGAACTTCCAAAAACAAGAGAAACAATGCTATTGATGAAATTATTTAAATCGCTTGTGCTCTTTTGTCTAGAATATTGTTCGGTGTTGACGACTCCTTCAAAACACACACACACACACACACACACACACACACACACACATACATACACACACACACACACACACACACACACACACACATATATATATATATATATATATATATATATATATATATATATATATATATATATATATATATATATATATATATATATATATATATATAAATAAGAGAGAGAGATATCGGAGATGGAAAAGAAACACACAGGTTACTGACCGTATCAGGTCAATAAAACTACCAAGTCTGAAAGTACAGAGCAAAGAAAAGATACCTAATAATTTATGTATATGAAAGGTACTTAAGATCCTAGTCCCATATCTGCACAAAACCATCACGTGCTTAAGTGAAAGCTATAGGAAATGCAAAATAGATCTAGTGCACAATAAGAGAACACTGTCAACATCTGTGGTCCAAGACTATTCAACCTGTTGCCAGCAGACAGAAATATTGTTGGAACAAGTGTAGAAGTCTTCAAGGAGAAACTTGAATACTGCCAGATCAACTAGGCTTTGATGGCTGTGTGAGCCAGCAGCCAGCTAATAGCAATAGCTTGGTTGAACATGCAATCAACAGAAAAGCCCAACCTCAGGCTGGACTGCGATAGTAGAAAAACTCTTGACACTGGTCATAGGTATAGCATCCTCGTTTGTACTCTCCATTTCCCCCCCCCCCTCTCCGACCCCTGTTTCTCCTACCTTTCTGTGCACGCCTTTTACTTTCTCCCTGTCCTTGTATTTACCGCTACCACTTCTACCCTTTCTCTTTTTCCTCTCTACTGAAGCCTTCCGGCTCAGGCTGACACATTTCATTGTCTCGTATAAAATCCATTTTATATGGTGAGCATAACAGGGAAACACTGCTACCTTATGTTCCCACTGTAGCTGCCAGAGAAGAGGGTAGCAACACACTATCGTACATAATTTTATTCGGTACAGAATGCTTCCGGTACTCCCTACCTCCCTTTTCCTCTCCCTTCTTTTCATCTCTTGCTCTCCCCCTCTCCCAGCCTCCGCGCTCTTAACTCCAGCTTTGCTTTAACGAAACCTTTGGAACTGCCGTAGCTGATGAACCTTAATGTAATACTTAATTAATATACTCATTACCCTGCAGAAGTCTCCTAGCAGAGGTTGACAGATTTCAACACTGTATGAGCCCTACCCTGCGTGATAGAATATGACAGGGAAAGTTTTTGTTCCCACTGTGTAACTGTTATATAGAGTAGGGTAGCAGCACACTGTTGATGCATTTAATTTTGCTAAAAAAAAAAATCCGTTGCTTCTACCAGTCTCCTCTCCTAGCCCCCCTCCCCCCACATTCTCTCCCCACTCTTTCCTCTTCACCTCTTTCCTATCTCTCTCCACTCTTTCCCCCATCTTCTGTTTTCTCAGTTTCTCTCCTCCTTTCTCCTTCAATTTATTCTCGAGCTGTGTGGCAAGGCCTGGAGGCGTGATTGAGTCAAGGAATCTTCCCGAGGCTGTTTACTTACCTGTCTTCCTGTCTGACTCAGGCCATACCTCGGGCTCAGAAACTTCCTTCTTCGACTCGTCTCTCATGAACATTTGTGACAAGGAAACCTTACGAACTTCTGCGTGCATTCAGTATGCGCTTTGTGTCTTGACAGTTATTCTAGTTTTTTTTTTTTTGTGTGTGTGTGTGTGTAGGAAGCTTCTTAGACTGGGCAGCGGGGTGATAATCCATTAACAGTTGATATACAACATTCCAGCACTGGCGAGCCAGTGGTTGCTCCACATCCTACATTTGTGTGTGAAGACACAGACTTGCACATCAGTACCACATGCCAGTGGTTGTTTACCGTGCCTGAGGTGGGAAAAGTGGGAAGCAGTGGAGGCCTTTGAGCAAGTCATCTGGTGATTAAGACCCAAATCTGGTGAATTTACCTGACTGCTATGTATAGTAACATTAGTCTTATCTACTCTTGTTGTCACGTCCTGCTTCACTTGGTTCCCCTTGGTAATGAATGGTAGATTAAGTTGTATCTGGGGAGTAACGGCCGCAAGATTGATCTTTCCACCATTCCTTGTATTAAATGATCCTCACCGGTTTAACGCTTCACATAAATCTAATGTGCATCCATTCTCATCGTGGAATACAAATGCATTCTTAAAGGTTAAAATGAAAGCCTAAGAAACATTGCTATCATCAATAGGTAGTTCGTGTGTTTGTCATTGGCGGAAATTGTTTATTGGACACCATTATGAATAAAAAACAAGCGCCTTTCCAAGAACCGCGCACTGACCTCAGACACGAGAATTTGTATGTGGTTTCGAACTCACAAGTTGATAAACGAGACACTTGGGCATCTTTATTCTGGAATAGAGACCCAAATGAGACGCTTGTGCAGCATTCGGGTATCTTGATTCAAGAATAAAGATACCCAAATGTTGCACAAGTGTCGTGTATATCAGACGAGTATGTTTACGTGACTCAGCTGACCGGGATGTTGGCGCGCAGGGTCACGTGTACACAAAATTCCCTGGCGAGTTAGCATTTGGTTAATAAGGTTACTTACTTTCACTCAGTTTAGTTTGCACGTGTGAGCTGCTCTTGTTTTTTTCCGTTCGTGATTGTTTTGACTATGATGTACGTCTTATCATTGTCTTTATATGTTGTTTTATTTAATAGCTTTGTTGTGCTCTAAATTAAGAAACGGACTAGGCAATGAAGACAAAAAAACTGGTTGGTACTAATAGGATCTTAAGAGTAAAGTCGGGACTGGTAAACACTGCAAAAAACACTTGGTAAGTCTTCGTTCATCATCCTCCTAAGACAGTAACAATCTTCACTCGTCAATACCATATCATACTGGTATTATAGTTAATTTATTGCTTTACTTGTGTGTTTTAAGTTTGTAATGTAGCTATTGCAAACTATTGTTTAATTACAATACAATTTGTTTAAATATTACATGCCATACTGTACAGTACAGATACTTTATTATATTTTTTTTCGCGCGTATAAGTAGTGCATTTTCGTTTTATTCACTACCCTGAAGTACTGTATTGTAACATGTTTACAGTTCATTTATAACAATTCATTATTTATACCATTGATCCACATTCCGTTAATGATTTAATTAAATCTGAATTATACCGCAGAGTATTAATGTACAGTAAGAGTAACTGTGCAGTAGTTTTTTTTATAAATACTGGATTTTTTGACCAGCGTATATAAAGCATAAATAAAAGATTGAGCTAAATTACTATAATTTATATATTTTATATATATATATATATATATATATATATATAATATATATATATATATATATTATATATATATATATATATAATAAATAATAAATAAATAAATAATAATAAATAATATAAATATAATATATATATAATATATTATATATATATATTATATATATATATAATATATATATATAAATAAATAATAATAATATATATAATATATTTAAAAATAGAGTATAATAATATTAATAAAATTTTATATATTATATAATTTTTGAAAGTATTATTATTAAATATAAAGTAGTAGATGTTAGAACAGCAAATCCCCTGGAGGTATACTATCTGCCTAGTAGTGTTAAAACGAAAGACTTTTTTGGAGATTTATTACACAGGTCAACAATTTTTGAAAGTTTATTTCTTATGATTGTTTTTTTATGAAGTTTATGCTGATCCAAATTCACCTTGAAAAATGCTATTAGCTATAGGTTTTAGATCCGAGACATGTAATTTTTGATTTATATTATAAACTTTACAGTGTGTCATCAGTGCTTTTAAACCTAATCGTACCTATCTTTGCTTTTTGCTTGACGTTTTAGATGGGCTGAAGAATCATCTCTTGCCAATGTCCAGCAATAGTCTGCAAGCATTCTTGTGCCGCATTTGCCCTGATACCATTTTTTTATGGTTGAAATATCTTAATGAAACCTTTCATCAAGTTCGTCATTAGCTGCCTCACAGTTCGCTGGAAAAGCCTAAATGTGAGTCCAGGAAGTGGGTTTTAAGTGACATGTAATGTTCTTTTAAGCCTTGATGAGGTTTTCCACCAATTCTTCATAGTTGCCTTCCCTTCTGTTACCGAGAAATCGCTTCGCCACTAACTTGAATGCTTCCCAAGCAGCTTTCTCCTCCCCATTAAGGTCTGAATCTGAGGACCATTGAAGACTCCCTCTCCTATCTTAGCGTCGCTCAGTAAGGGGAATTTTGATGTTAAATAT